GTGCCCGTAATACCAATTAATGCATTACTTCCATCTAACTTTTCCTGCGGAATGGAAAATCGAGTCAAAATAAACAGGCAGACAGAAAGATAGACATATGAGATGTATTCATCCTATATCTTTTAAAGTGATGAAGAATGATTGTCTCGAAACCCTACTTATAAAAGATATTCATATAGGTGGATAGATATAGGGTTATATCGCCAGACTTGGAACTTATTTTTGCGAAGGCTTTATGTTAACTCTAAGTCATGAAGCTTGCGTATTAACTATAGAAAAAATATAAATTAAGATGGATATATATATATATATATAGCTGGCAGCAACTAAGCAAATATGAGATAGTTTCCCAATTTCATTTAACCAACGTGAAATACATCTTGAAAGCAGAATAGCAGTCCATCTATATAAATGTACAACACTGTTGGTTCACATGAAAATCTTTCTTAAACAAATCTGGAACAATCAAATTCTAGTAATTGGTTTCTGCACAACGTGCAGTTAATTAGGGACTCGTCCTGAAAGAGATGTGCTCAGGGTCACTTCTAAAAAGGAAGGAAAATGGTTATGCTCTGATGTTGCGTTGATGAGTTTTTACTGCCTTATCTTGTCTCCTTTCCTCCCGTTCCTCCCCGTCTAGTCCCATCTCGTCATGTACCATGCTGTTTTGTCTCGCAACATCGCGTCCTATTTCGTCCCATTCAATCCCTATCCTATATTTTTTTCCTGTCCCGTCTCGACTTGTCTTCAGACCCCTCCAGTCTAGCCCCACCTCATCTCGTCCCTTCCGGTCGTACATCTAATCCTTTCATCTCGTCTTATTCCCTACGACTTTGTATAGTCTCTTACCGCCCCGGCCCATTTATTCCTTCCTTACTCCTTCATACAGTTTCATCCTGACCCGTTTCGTCTTCTCCTTATTCGTCAAATCCCACATCGTCATGTACCGTACAGTCTCATCCCATTTTGACATATTTCATACTATTCCGTCCCCTAGCGTACATTTTCGTCCCTTCCCGTCCCATCTCGTTTCGCTTTATGCCCTTGCGTCCGATATGGAATCATGCAGTTCCCCCCCGTCCCTTACCATACAGTTACGTCTTATTCCATGATGTCCTATCACGTACCGTTTTGTCCCGTGTTGACCCTCTCCCTTCCCATCTCGTTCTTTCTTCTCTCACCCTGTCACGTACCGTACAGTTTCGTCCCGCCTTGAACCGTGGCCTACCAATCATCTGGTTTTGTCTAATACCATTCCTTTTTATCTTGTTTTGTCCCTTCTCTTCGCGTCCATAACCGCCCCCTCCCATCTCGTCCTGTTTTATTCTGATCAGTAAATAACACATTGAGCCCCATCTCCCAACCATAATCTATCGCTCCATCCCGTTTACTTACAGCCTTATCTCTTTTCACACTGTAACGTTTCGCTCCTTCCTCTCCCATCTCGCTCCGCTTCGCTTCATTCTGTCTCTCGACTCGACAGCCTCGGTCGTCAGCTCGTAGAGCTGGAGCGACGAGTAGAAGAGATTGTCGCCAAAAGACATGAGCCACCCGTCGAGGTCGTGGTCTGCCGCACCTGCTTTCTCACCGACAGTCTGGCCCACATCATTCAGCTCCAGTCTCCTCTCCGGGCGGCTTATAAGTCAGGCGTCTTGAGGCTTCGGCTGCCCGTCCATCCGGATCGCGAGTTCACTCCGATCACGGCCGCCGACCTGGGCGCCGCCGTAGCTCGCCTCCTCTTGCTGCCGTCTCCGACTGAAGGCGCATGCAATCGTTCACAGCTTCATATGCTGCATCTAGCAGGCCCGGCTACTACGGCCGCCGAGTTCGCAGGTCTCTGTTCCGCCTGGCTGAACAAAGAAGGTAGAGCTCTCGGTCGCCAGGCGACCAACAAGACACTTCGACACTACAAAAAGACATGTTCTTATCGAAGGGCCACATTTCACAATTAGCCTCAGGCTATTTAGGAGGTAGGATCTTTGAACAAGTAGTCGAATTAACTCGGTTTGCTTTAAATGATGACGATACAAGTAGTCACGCCCCAAATCGGTTGAAGAAAGGCGGACGGAAGAATATGGAAACTAAAGAGAGGAATAATAGAGAGTACACACCGGAAACAATAAATCAAATAAGAATAGATATAATAGAAAGAATAAAGATTTAAAAAAAATATGTAGATACGAAGAGAAACTTGGTTTCGATGAATCTCCTGAGATAACATTGTAAGGGGGACCTTTATTTCAAATGAAGGTAAATGATGAAGAGATTCGTTGGTCGATCTCACCAGATGAGGATGGATGAAAATCGTTGTACTGCAGCCGTTTAGCTTTTATGCGATATTCATGTTGACGCAGTCCACGAGTATTCCTCCCTCGTTTAGGGTGAAAACGTGCTGAGCTTTCGTCCATCATTCGATGGACATCATCAGAGCTGGGTTTCATTCTTGCAAGAGTCTCACGTTAACACTAAAGCAAGAACACTTTCCGGCTTCATCTTCCTTCTTATATACACTGAGTCGAGTCAATAGATTAAAAATTACAAATCTAGACAGATCGATATAGAGTGGTTTGGTTAATTTTATTTCAGTTCGTTCTATTATTGTCTGATTGTATGAGAATGCATATTTGCGTGTTTATTTGGGTCTATATGCAATACGGTTCTTAAATCACACTTGCTTGCTTGTATGAGAATGCATATTTGCGTGTTTATTTGAGTCTATATGCAATACGGTTCTTAAATCAGACTTGTCGATTAAATCTTTTGTTCTGATCCTTAAGACCTAATAATTCAAGAGATAATCTTTTCCTGAGACTTTTTAAGTCCGTAGATAAGTATTGTTGGGATAATGAAATATGAGTTGTTTTTTTAAGCATGATAATCAAATTACGAAACCATTAGTCCTAACCTTTCGGTCAAGGATCATTAATGTTTAACCCTTCAAGGAAAAGCAAGACTAAGGTTGTGTAATCTCACATATCTGGTTAATTTCAAGAGCTTAATGTAATATTTTGGGTGAATTTGAGTGAAATTAGAAACTAAGAAATAAATTTTCAGACGGAAACTATTTAGTCAAAGAGAGACAGATTGAGACATTTTCCCATGTCCTTA